GGGAAAGAAATCAGATTTCCCTTCATAAAGGGTTAACACTGTATGAATGAATCAATAGGATAAAGCGTAGCTGATTTCACTTTATTGCAACTTGTTTTAATTTTTGTCATTTGTTGATTTTTCCATTGACCATGTGCAGCAATTTGGGTAAGTTTTTTCAGCTGTTTCACCTCTTTCACTAGAACACAAAGTTTTATAAAGGACTGAGAATAGTGGCTTTTCTCTGTGACAGTAAAAACCACATCTATTAACCTACAGCAACTAAATCACTCTTTCGAAAATGTGGCCAGAATTTAGTAACATGAAGAACCTCTGCCAAGAAAAATTCACTGGAAATGTAATGAAAATGTCTAATATTAACAAATACGGACACTCTGACAGTACTACCTTACCTGCTTGGAGAGGCATGTAAGGGCAGCTGTCTGCCCTGTCTTTGCCATTGACCCACTGAATGACCTTGAACTAGTTGCCTTTACCTCTCTTCGCCTTTATTTTCCCTGCCAATCTTTCTCTGTCTGGACTGTTAAAATTATGAATATTTTGCATCTTACGTGTTTGTACAGCAATTATTGCAGTGGAGTTCTGCTTGCGACTGGAGCTACCTGGTGAAACTGAGCTATACATAATGATCACAATTGTTCCACAGAGGTGTAAAAAGTTTGGCGGTGCCTCTTAAGAGACTCATTCTGTGTGATGCAGGTGAACCATACAAATGGCTTTAAGACATCAAGCTTTCTTTTGGGTGGTAAACAATGTAGAGGAGTAACTTTCCTGTGGGAGTTGTGCAAAGTCTACAGGCATTATAGCTTCTGGATACACTCTGTACTATGTATTTGACCCCAGTTTGAGCCTGATTTTGCCTCCTAATTCATCCACATGGTTAGTCTCCCAAGGCCAGGCTCTGGCACCATGAAGTTCAAGGCTTGCAGTCCTCTGGGTAAGAAGATTTAGAGGAGACATGCGTCACCACTGTGCTCTGATTTGTTTGGATGAGGTGTCAAGTCACAGCTGACTGGCTGCTTATTATATTTCTTGTTATGCCCTGTTGGCTATGTTTGTCTATTTCTAGGGAGTAGCCTAGGAAAGAGGAATGTGAACCTACCACCTCTCAGGAATCAATGCCAGGCAGAACACATAGGCAGCAGGCTTCAGTCTTAGCTAAGGTGTGGGGCTGTTCACTGCCACCTCCCAGTGGCGAGACCAGCAGCTGTGGAAGATGTTTCTTTCACTCCACCTGTATTGCTGTCAGATGGGTTACTTCAGTGCACTGGAAGAGTGGAGCAACGCCAGAGGAGCTCCTCTTGTCCAGATACGCCTGAAAAGGGGGCTATCGCTGCCCCTTATACTATATCTTGCCTGTGTGAGTGATTCTTCATTTAAGACAAACTGCCCGACAGATAACAGCAGTGTTGGTGGAGAGTCAGTGATTGCTAGAGCATGATGCCCCTCAGATGAGACCAGTGGAGCATGTCAGAAATGTTCATACAGAGGGACCCTGTGCTCAGTGGAGCGGTGGACATTCTATGTGGTTGCTACTCTGGTGAGACCCGTGTTTGAAAACTGGCATAGCAGCACAGTGTCAAATTTTTAAAGACTGGACAACCACAGTGTAGCATGTGCAGAAGGTAGGAGCAGTCTGCTAGAGGCTCTAGCTCCTGCTGTGGCTGTAGAGCTGCAGAACATGACTCAGATGTTGCCCTTCTCCTGCTTACAGAATCCGACTAAAGAATGATTCCTTAAGCCCTCTGTCAATTCTCCTTCCTGACATAGTACAAGGAAATACTACCTCTGTGGCTTGCTCATGATCTCAGCCTTTATCCCATTTTAGGTGAGTTTCTTGAATCTCTTTCAACAACATATGACATTATAGTGGAATCTGTCAAGATTTTTTTTTTAAATTAGACATATGGTAAAGTGGATTTGAATCACCTTTCAAATTATGCCTTTCTCAAGCCTAAGTATATGAGAAGTTACAACAGTACTTATTAAAAAAGGAATCATTCCATTGCAACGTAAATCCTCTGAGTTCATCTGCAAAATAACTGTACAGCTACAAAACTTTGATATAATTTTTTCAGGCCCGGAGATCACTGCTGTAACCCAGGCCACAGGCACAATGTGATAGAAAGTCTGCTAACGAGCTGCACAGTGAGGCAAGTCCTCTGCATTATCTTCATGTGCCTGCTAGTACATACAAAAAGTAGCTGGGTCAAATGAGACAGGTTAGAGCTAGACTTAAGGGATGCTTAGTGAGTCAACGCATCCCTTGGAAATGCTATTCCTGAGATTCCTATGGCTTAAAAGCCATTTGCACTTGTGCAGTTCCTTAGAGGTGATAGCAGGATATACATGATGACACAGTTTACTAACTTTCTATTGGACCAAGATTTGAGCTGTTCCAGATTCTTGCCTTTCCTTCAGTTTTCCTTACTCTGACGTCTAAAGGAAGACTCACATCTGGGATGTGGACTTACTGAACGAACGAAGCGGGCGGCAACAGCAGCAGGATGGGAGCAATGAGGTAACTCCTTGTCCTGACCCAGCCTTGCAGGAGCTTCTTTCGAGTTCATCAGGTGTATAGCCTGAGAGAGCATTAGATTATTTCACCGGATCTCCTGTGTAGCATGGTCTATTGATATCTACCCAGTTACTCTTACACTGAGCCACTGACTACTGTTTATGAAATAAAAAATAATTTAAGGATGGCTAACTAGCACCTTCCAGGCAGCCAGTGTTGTCTAAATTTCCAGAAAATGGAGGGTCCCGTAGTAGAGACATACTACCAGAGAGGTAGTCTGACCTCTATTAAATATTATCTAACTTCTATTATCTACATATTTGACTTCAACAATTATTTTCTATTTGATTAAAAGGGACTTTAAGACTCACCAGGACTTTAAGATTTACCACGCACTCATCTATCTACTGCAGTCAAGTCATATCTCAGTCTCTGTTTAACTAAGTTAAAGAATCAGGAGGAGTCACATCTCTCTGCAATGCATCTTCTCCGACATTCACGTAAACTTTCAGACTTTTCCAAACTCCACATCTCCATGGCCTTTAAAACAGTTCACACAGGACCTGAATACACTGTCCCACCATTAGTCTTTCCGAAGTGCTAAGGGGTATCACCTTTTTACTCTGACTAGCTACAGATGGCATTAGCCTCCTTGTAGCATTGTATTAGAAGCTCATATTGAATTTCTTGTCCTGTTCTATCCTTGATTCATGTTCTGAGCCACTGGTTTCCAAGGTGCCATCTCTCATTCTGCAGATGGAACCTTTCTACTTCCTAAATTTCTGTATTTGTAGTAGGCTGTGTCAAGACATTGGACTCAAATTAATAAGCAGTCCAGATCAATTTAAGTGACTAACCGTCAACATCAAATGAACTAGGTAAGAAATGATTCTCTGAAGCATCAAAGTGGAGGGAAAAGTTGATTGTATAAGGGACTGAAACAGTGAATCGCAAATATTTGTAGATATAGAAGGACCACATCTTCAGCTGACATCTTATTTCTGGATTTCCATGGTGCTGAAGAGTTGATTGATAAGTATTCGGAACATTTTAAACCTAAATAATTGTGAATTTAAAGAATACTGCCTAAAATCATAAAGTCTTTTGTATGATTTTTAATGCATACTTTATGTACAAAAATAGATAACATGTTGTTGATTTTCGAGCTATAAATTTCCCCTCCTCTTTTCCCCCTCCCTGATTTGATCAAATTTACTGAAGTGACACATGAACATTTCCCCATTGTGACAGTCGTGGCTGAAATATTCCAATCCAAGGGAGCTGTTACAGAGAAAAAGAAATGGAACATTACTTTTAAAAAATCCCAGACATCCCAGAAAGCAGTCAAATATTTATGCAAAATGAATGTAGCATTATACACTGGCACCGAACAACACAATGCTCTGTCTCACACAATCCTGTCATTCATGTGCGTACATATTGCCACAGGCAAAAGTCCCACACAATGTATTTTTATACAATTGCTAGCATATTTCATTACAAGTTGTTTTTTTAATTCCCTTATGTAGAGGATTCTCTTGATAGAGACATGCTGTCTCCCCAGAGTTTCCTAAAAGGGGAAAGATTTGTAATATAGAATCCACAGAAAATTATGGCATAAAAAGTAAATTTCAGCTGTAAATAACATTAGCAAAGAATATAGTCATAGCAATAACAAAGAAGATGGAAAGAAACTTATTCTTCCCTAAGAGAATTCAAAGTACACTGAGTTATATTTTGTGTTCTGGTAGCTATCATGTAACCAGTTAGAAACACAATGCAAAGTAGTCAAAATTGTTAGCATTAAATTTCTGATACATAACACATTCACCTTCAAACATAACACACAACACCTTCAAATTTATTAGAGTGAATAAGAGCAGGCCCAAACCTATGGGACTGAGACACTGAAGCAGAGAGACCACCAACCTCTACGCCTTGAGTAGAAAATACAATCCGTACTTCGAAAGTTTTTGTTAATCAAAGTGTACCCAATATCACCTCAAAATGACGTGAAAAGGCAAG